CGGTCGATCTTCGGCGCATTATTCATTCAACAAAATAAGCTCATGAAATGTCAGTTATAACTATGAAATTTTTCAAAATATATCTATCTTCTTCTCGTTTAGAATCATGGGGAAAAAAACAAAAGAAAGTCACAGCTAGATGTTATGCGCAATTGTAGTAAATCTAATAAGGCTGCATACTAGTCGAGGAGTTCGTGTCAAAAAAAATCTTTGTTTTTTTTAGAATGGATACTTCAACGACTTTGTTTTCTGTATAATTCCATTAACTATATATATACTTAAATTCAATCAAATTGCACTTAATAATGCATGCTAATTGAAATCTAGATTGCTTAAAGAACATAATCTGATATGTGGGCGAGAGAAAGCATTTTCTCGAGGGAAGTAGTAAAAATATTGTAAACCTATTCATTACTAAAATACTGACAGCTTGTCAAAATAAATTAGGTTTTTAAAAATTTAATGGTATCAAAACACTTCATGTTAGGAAAACAGAGCAATACTAATATTTTAAATAGTGAAGATTTGTTGTGTTTTTTCAAGAAAAGACTGATGCTATTATCGTGCCTCAGTCATTTGGCTGCTATCATACTTGCGATAGAATATTGTGATGAATACCGAAGAAAATATTTCTACGCAAAATATTATTCGATGCTCCTAAAACTCAGGGATATTGACCACTAATAGACGATCAATCTTCAATCAAACCAAAATCAAATTTGAACTAGACGTAGATAGGAGGCGTGATAATTACTCGCATAGTCATTTGTCATTCAAGAAATCTGACTGCGAACATAAATTCTCTGATGCAACTCATCCGTTCAATAGTTTTACCTTTTTAACGATTTCTGCTGAAATGTTTCAAGAATGTGATGTTCCTTGGTTTTGTCGTTGTTATACTGATAGATAACTTTGTTCGTAGACAATTATCTCTTAAAAACCAACAAGATGAATGAACCTAATAGACCAGAAAAATAACAAACCAATAACATGATATTTTCTTCGCCTGTTTACATGCGAAGCGAAGAAAAGAAAAAAATCCAATCACTTTCGTAGGAAAAGTCAAATGAAATAGCATGTTACATTAATAGTTCATCTAAAGAACATGATATTATTAGAGGTATAGTGTGCAACACATAGAAACAGCTCTAAGAAGTAGTGGACGGGGCAAAAGTTTTGCATGAATCTTGTTTTTGATATAACTTGGTGATGCAATGTCGTAGAGACTTGATGTTTGCTTTTGGATTAGTAGGAGCATAGTGTCGAGTGCAAAAATATGTAAAAGAATTTGATTAGAAATGTTTCTCGAAAGTCACAAAAATTTAAAGACATGAACGGATGGAAAACTCTTTCTCAACGTTTTTTGATTTTAGAAAATATTTCCTATAATTAGACAAGTGATCTTTTTATTCGTTTAATCCACGTGTTATTATGTAAGAACAAAGCCACTATTGCTGTAAAAAAAGGAAAAAGGAATTTTCTACATGTTTTATACCGGTCGAAACGAACACTTTTAAAATATCAGCTAGGTCAGGGAATTTTCATCACTGTCGATAGTAGTCGAAAAGATAAGCTCTACTCTGCGAGAGAGATTCTTAGAGGCTGCATGTTTTATATGAAAAAGAAAGCTTATTGAATCCTCTACAGAACAATATTATTTCGAATACGACATGATTTTTCTGTCAGATAGTCAGACAAAAATTTATTTTCGCGTTGGAAAGTCAAATTTGAACAAATTCATTTTTTTTAATCAAATTGTCTTCTGTTCATTCTCTTGTATGCTATACCAAGTATTTTAATACTAAATCAAACCCTTCGTTGTAGTGAGCAACTGTATGAATATGGTGCTCGAACGCGTCGAAAGTGAGCAATGAAAAGCTCAAACAAAGATTTCTGAAGAAAAAAGATTGCGATCAAAGTTGCTGAATTATTTTTCAGTGCTTTCTGTTCTAAGATTTGTGTAGCCTTCGCAACAGATTTCCAATAAAATTCTTTTATACATTTTGCAGTAGACACCTGGCTCTTTTTAACCAAAAATACATCAAGTCTCCATGGCATTGCATCAAAGAGTTACATCAAAAACAATATTAATGCAAAAAATTTGCTCCATCCATTGTAATGTATCAATGCTGGACTTGTGCACAAATCGGGGAATCGTAGTGTAACGTTTTTGCTCTATTGTTTCATTTTGAATAATCCATGGAGGAAGTTAATAAGGAAATTAGAGATACATCAAGTGGAAAATGTTCAGAACAAATTATCATTGCCTTTGAAATGAACAAAATACTCATAAAGTATTCTACTTGAGCATGATTTTCAGAAAAGAAAAGAAAAGCAAAAGCATATTCTAATAATTTGAATAAACTAAAACTATATCTGTAATAGAATAGTACACCTTGACTTAATCATGTTACTTCATTTGCTTTTGTATCGAGTCAAATGAATAACTAATTAAGAGAGAGTTCGCGGAACAACTTAGTCATTAAGTTAGAAGTCAGCCGCTGGTAAAATTTTGATTTTCGATTTACCTATCTTAAATCAATGGTCTAGCCAAACCATGCGTGAATCCAAAATATCAGGTCTTTCTGATGTGCCTGTAAAAAATGGCAGCGTTTGGAAGTGATACATAATTTACATTTGGTAAAAAGGTGAAGTTTTTAGGGCGTCCGTAGTATTTTAAATTTTACTCTGCTTCTGCTCATCTGTTTGACTTTGAAAACGTCTCAAAAGATAGAAAAGCGTTTTCTCTACAAAATCGAGCAATTCATATGTTTACACAATCATATTAATCAATTAACAAAGTCAAAATACTTAAGGAAATGATGATTGACTAAAATGAGAAGTTCTTAGTAGTTTGCTTATAGCCACGTCAGATCTGGCCATCCCAAAATAGTTTGTATACTTTCTGACAGTCCTTGAAATTCTGCATCTTCTATGGCACTACCTACTCAGATAAAAGTTAAGCGAAAATAATTCGTCTTCGCCACAAATGTTGACATGAGATATTTAATCGGAGCCAAGATCAACGGAGTATATTTTATATGATTGTCCAGATCCAACATTTGATTTCAGATTCGTGATCAGCACAAAAATTTGACCATTAAAATATTCTTAGAGTGAATATCACATAACTCCAGTTGAAAAACCTCTGTAGAATATCAATATTTTGCAGCCTTTTGTCGAATACATTCTGGTATGTCTATTTAATCAGCTGTTTAGAGACCTAGAAGTAAAATTTTTGCAATGTTGAAAGTCTCTGAATACTTAGCTTGAAAATCTGCTAATTACTTTTCTCGGGTTATGTATCATTGTCGAGCGAAATGGAATTTTTTCGACGTTGTCGAAAATTGATGTAAGTATGCAAGAACTTCTATTATTTATGGGTGCTTTTTGTCGCCATAGGTTGTTCTGATAACAAAATGATTTACATATTTAGAATGAGCGAAAAAAAGCTACGTCGAATTGAGTAGTTTTTAGAAAAATAATGTTAGCATGCGATCTATTAAAAATTTTAAATGAACTATTGAGAATTTTTCCCGTATTGAGTCTATACTGTTCGGTACTAAATCATTTCTTGGCGATCGACAATTGTTCTCGAATTTCATAAACTATCTCCATATGCCTCTTATGTATTTCTGTTCAATAACTATTATCATTTTGTTTTATCAATTTTCACAGATGAAATTCACATTTCGTTAACAAAAAAAAAAGATTTTCTACAGATTAGTGAAGTGCAGAATCATTACACCTTTTTCGTGTTGTTCCATTGCAGAATTTTCTTAGTTTGTCCTATAGAATTTTTCTATACGAAAAATCAACTGCTTCAATCACATTCAGGATTATGTCTAAAGATCAAAAATAAATTAATGTAAGATCCCGGAAACATTCGTCTACGAAGAAGTTAATTAATTCAGGATCAGACTGATTAGCATGTGCGCATCTTTTAAATAAAGACGCAGATTTACTTTCATTCTTAAACATATATTAACCTAAAACAACCGGTTGAATTTTGTTGTGTGTACTCGATTTGCTTAATCCGGCAACAGCCATTGAGCGTGGTAACGAGCATTAGAGTAGTTGAAATTTTGGATATAGATTTGTAGGTGTGGGTTCGAACGAAAAATATTTTTCACGTGCACACTCATTGTAGGGCGAGATAATGGAAAACGAAGGTCGAAAATATTTGGTAATCAAAAATATTGTCATCCTTTATAGAAAATAGAGAATGAAAAAACTAAGTTCAAGGTGCAACTTTTTCAACTAGCAAAGCACGAACAGCAGGAATCTACTACTATGAATCGCACTTGTCTTTGTTCCATTTGTAAGTCAATATATCTTGTATCAAGAATAATTGCAACCAGATTTAGAAGTTCCTGATTATGCTTGTATGACAAATCGTTCTAATTCTCTGTTGCAGATACGTAACAGTAGAGACTTCGATGCCAAGGAGACCTTCAATTGAATTAAAACTTTACAAGGCGGTAACAAAACTCGATCGAATCGTCGTTTTATATCCTTTTGAAACTTCTTTCTATTATCTCGATAGAAAAAAAGTAGACGATTATTTAAAATAGCAATTTCGAGTTATGTCACAAAAGTAAATGACGTCTTGCAACGGTCGATTCTATTATTAAAGAAAGATTTTTCTTTGATTGCAATATATTAATACGATTTGTTCGCTGGTAGAATTGTTATTATTCTCTAATAAAATTGCATTGGAAGAAAAGAGAAGTCCGTAGAATCAACCAGCTATTATTCACTTGAGAAATGAAATTGTTGAAGTGTGCCTTTTTCAAAAACAAAAAACATTGCGGCATGAAATTTTTCGCAAACAGAACAACAAAACCTTGAAGAGAGTGCAAATGGCTGATGATTCTTGTTAACTTTTGATCATACATAGTAAATAATTTCTTCGTCATTTTACTTAAATAAATAAATACAACAACAAAACAAAAAAGAAACATAGGAAAATAATTTTTTAAAATCACCAATTGATTAATTCACTGTTTTTTCAATAAATGAATTAATGTATCAAGAAGAAGATCTGTTCGTTGAAGTTTATTATATAAATATAAATGCATTATGGTTAAAAGAACAACCCTAAAATAGAAATTTATATTTTTCTTCGCTAAAACTTAAAAATAAAACTTGTTTTTCATACAGTAATACAAGCATATGCAGGATTTTATCGTGCTCGGAAGACAATGTATTTCTATTCGTATTATCATTGATACTATTTATAGTAGTAGTAATCGTTGTAGTATTAGATTGTAATTGTTGCACAGGATTTGTGTCTTCTTGGCTAATATGATGATTATTTTCGATGATAGATTCGGTTAATGTTACTTCACCATTGCTTAAACGACATCTGTCTAGAAAACAAATAAAAAAAAGATACTAATTTATTTACTGGTGTGTTTCTTTTTAATATTATTTACCTATCGGCGAATTCTTTATAGCATTTAGACGATTATCTATAATAAACCGGTACGACTTCGTGTTGTTTTGACTTGCTCAATTAATTAAATAAATTTTCTTACTTAAATCTTTTAGCCCATTTTGTGATGCTGAATAAGAATTTCGTTCAATAAATTCTAGTGGTTAAAATATGATTCAATAATAAATTATTTAACAAAAACAATATCAATGATAAACAAACGTTTTATAATTCCATTCACTGATTTAACATAATTTATTCGAGCAGTAACAAGGAGATTGGTTGTTGTCGGAGATGTTTGAACAATACAAAATCGTATCAGAAGACAAAATGTATCACTAAACTTAACACCTTCATTAGATACTTCAGTTTCAACTACAAAATGCGAGCCAGGTACATCGTGCACGCGTGTCTAAATAAAACAAATAAATAAACATTTGACTTGGATCTCAAACAAAACGAAAATATTAACTTGTTTTTCACGTGTCATAATCGTACTTTTACCCATTAGTGCAGTTTCAAAAGGTACTTTATAATTAAGTGTTCGTTCAAGATTAGCTGTTCGTTCATTTCGCGTCCATTCACTTTCAGTCAAATCTAAATAGTATACAGAAAAATAAAATGCCATGTAGATAGTGGTTCGCTTTTTTTTAAATTAATTTAACCATAGAGTCTTTGTGCTTGTCTATATACTCGAACGAACTCATTTGAACCAAACACTAAGTCAAATATTTGATCAGCTGGTAGTTCATAATTGTATTCAATTAATACTTTAGTGTAATGTGCATCACATGGGCATTTATTTCTATAAATTAATCTAGGCTCAGGTATTAATGTCTGAGTATGCAGTTGAATAGGACTATTATCAACATGATGGTTGTTATTATTGTTAATAATCATTGGCTCAACAGTATTTTCTGCTGTCAATGTCGAGTTACGACGTTTTTTCTTCTTTTTCTTTGGACGATTATTTGCATCATGCAAGTCTGCTTTGATATTGTTATCATGATATACTTGGTCATTCTAAATCGTTGAAACAACTATTAACTTAAATCTTTAATTTTTGAAAAAAATAAAGAAATCAAAAAAATATTAGAGAACGCCTAAATTCTTACATTTGCTGTTGCTTGCGCACACTTTTTCGACGATCGCGACATGTTAACGAAAAACAACCATAGTCAAAATGCAGGTTGCTATTGAGCTTGTATTGACACATAAGTCAACATTTTCTTCTGTGAGATCGATTTTTTCCTTTCTGAAGTTTATTTCTAACCGTCGATAACTAAAAGAAAAAAAAATGCAAGAATATTTTTGTTGTTGCTTGACACAACAGGCGTGCTTGTCGATCGCATAGAATGATGAAGAAAAAAATCAATCATTAAGAAAAGAACAATAAAAAACATTGACGGATGCGATGCTTTCTGTTGAACTGTTAACTTAAAAAGTGATTAAATAAATAATTACAAAATATTTTCAAAAATAATGATTCACATGCCAATTATTGTAGTAGACTGATGAATTCACACATTATGTGTTGAAGCACTAGTCGCGTCATCAAGCATACTTATTTTTGAGTTATACAAAACAGCTCAAGGTCGCCCCGTGAAGTTTTTATTTTCATGGTTGTTTTCTTCGCTTATTCGGCGACGAAACACAAAGAAATAGAAGTAGAAATAAAAACAAAATATGCACATGACAGAATGTTTTGATTACACTCATGCTAAATATTAATCACGATCAGTTTTCTAAAGTACATTGAGTCATAATTTTGAAAGCTGGATTTTTATAGCGAAATTTGACAGTTTTAATAGTAGAGAACGTTGTATTCGCTAGAAGTTTGCGTTTTTGCATAGAAATATACGACACGATTAAAATTGGGTTTATTTACACAGGTAATCGGCTTATTTTTAGTATTTTGTGGAACTCGCATATACTTTCGAAGAACATGGTGAGTAAGTTTAAAAGCGAGATTTTTGCGCCCCGCCCTCATTACAGATGTAAGCAAATGGGCGATAACCTAATTATAGGTTTTGAAAATTAAGGTAGATTTTTCAGACGAACTATTAGGAATTATTTTAGTTAGCCTAAGGTATATATGTGAGTTCCACTTTTTAGCCCAAAGGAACTGCGCTAACAAGCTTTTTACATGCATACTCATGTGAACTCATTTCGTGTGATCGAATGGTAAAGATAAATAATTCTATGAGTTTTGTGCGATGAATCATGAAACATTTTCTATAAAATAATTATTCGAATATTTCTTGCTAAGATTGTAATCAAGCATGCATCCGGTGCACTGTTGTTCGGTCGCGACGTTCACGCACACAAAAGCTTTGTGCTGAGCTTACAGGTGAACATATGGTAGAACGATAGTAATTTTGATTTAGTTTGCTCATTAAGGCACTATTAAGGCAATGAAATAATATTATAAGAGTATAGTCAAGGTTTTCGATGTGCAAGAGATTGAATATGTAGAGACATTAAATGAGTTAACAATTTCACTGATTTTCTTCAAAATAGACTTCACCCGATCCCGCCGATGAGATTTCTAATGACTGTAAAAGCAGCATAGTTTTTTATATTACGTTCACTACTATTCTACGACACTATTCCTAAACTCATGTGATGTTCTACCTATACCTAAAACCGATGATTTGTTCTTTTTTTTGTACAACTATAACGAGATAATAGTGTGCATTTTTATTAGAAGTCAATTTTGCAGTAAGTTATTTATAACTTATTAGAAAATATTTTTAACAATTTAGGCTACATAGGAATACTTCAAACTATTTCCAAATGTCAAATATTCAAGCGTTGTGACGTGCTTTGAACGTAACTCAGTGCACTTACCGTTACTTTTCTACTTGAGATACGCTATTTCTCTACGATGCAATCAAGATGGAAAACTTATAAAGCATAGTTTCGCCCACAAATGAATACGCCAGTCAACTTCCGCACTAATTACTACTATAACAACTCAATTGAATCTGGCCGACAGACTATTAAAATAAAAACGTTACGTTCTTTAGAAATTGTTTTTCAATGTTTTAAAGCTTCATTTAGAAAAAAAAACAATATGATAGAAAGAAAAAGCATAGCTTACTTCCATACGTATAGCAACTTTCAAACAAATATCCTCACTTGAACAAATGGTCAACTCACATAAATTTAGCAGTTTAAAAGGATTAATTACACATGGATTAGTAAACGTCTGTTGATTCACTATTTCAAAAATGCTCTGATTACTCTATCGGTTTCTGGCACAAAAAATAAATAATTAGGAATCAAAAATTTGTAAAGAATACAAAAAGATAATAGATTGCAAAACACACAATAAATATGATCAATTACAGTCCAATAGAATGCATTGCATTTGTAACTTTATCAACAAAATACTAGAATGAATGTAAAAAGTTTTAAAAAAATTATGGAATCGAAAATTGAACTTTTTTAACTTACACAAGCATCCTTCAGATTGGAATATTTAATCGCTTTACTCGATGGTCGATTTGTGTCAAAAGTACTGTTACCTTGTGATTTCTATTAATATAAATTACAGATTTTGTGAACCTCATATCGTAAGAAGATAAATCATTCTGCTTCATTTGACTATATTTTATCCTTACTTTAACTAGAATTTGAATAACTTGTTTCTCAGCCATGATAACCGGCATTCCTTGTAGATCCAGATAGGCCATTTTCCAATCAATATTATAAGTCCCAAAAATTGAAATTTCGGTCACAAATAGAATGCGTCTAAAAGAAAAAATTAGCTTAATAAAAATTTTGGAAAAAAGATACTTTGAGGTAGCCATAAGCCAACTTGGTGGACTATCTGAACATGTAATATGAGCAATATACGTATCAGTCTTGGTATATCGTCTATTATCAAGTCGCTGCAATTAGATAAGAACTAATAAATGAAAACAAACAAACACAAATAAAAGGTCTCAGTTTACATTTAGAATATATAAACCCATCGCTTCATGAAAAATATACGGCCGAACAAGACCATCGTGACTGACATGGCGTGGGTATCGAACACGACGAACAATATGTTCTTGAGTAGCCGTACTATTTAAAAAATAACAAAGTATAATTGATGATTACATGCAGTTGCCAATTTCCTCTAGTACCGTTTAACTGCATCGAGTGAAGTGCTCGCAAAATCAACAATACCGCCAGCGGGCTGTGCTACAAGACCTATTACACCTTTTCCTAAGCCTTTGACGAAACCCAAAGCACCAGATCGTGCTGCACCAGCCACTGGCTTTGTTACGACTCCAGTTACACCATGAACGAATCCCTATTAACATAAATGTCTTTAGAGAGTCCTACAAATGGAGTCAATATTAATTTAGATTGTTCTCGAAAAATTGTGTCAAAAAAAGACGTACAAAGAGTCTCTATATATTGTAAGTGCTTTTTTAGCATACTTCTATAGTTCAAGAAAAGCTCACCATAACTACATTCTTTCCACCGGCAGCAATATCGGTTACAACGTTGGCTGTTGGTTGTCTGTGACGAATACGTGAATCTTTATATTCGTCGTCAAATGTAAGTGTTGCTAAACTTTTTCCAAGCACACTGGTTATTCTTGAAACTGCGCCAACAGCAGTGCCTACCGTTGAACCGACTAATGTTAAAACACCGGTAGCCATACCTTCAGCAAATTCAAGTGGACCTTCGATCGCACCCTAAATAATTACAAGTAAATACTAAACACAAAGCAAAAATCAATAATATTGACTTTGTATGGTTCATAAAATAATGATTCCACTCCTTCAGCTAGACCGAGAATGATGCCAAGTGGATTGCCTAATACATCCAAGCCGAGTACAAGAACATGAATTTGTTTAAAGAATTGATTTTGATAATGTGCTGAAACTTGATTTTGCAACTTAGTTACGGTGAATCGATCGAATGATCTTTCATAGAAACCCAATCTAATTGGGTGTATGTAACAAAAGTCAATTTCATTAATTAACGTTACGAAAGATATTTACCTGAGAATAACATCTTTTACTTCTGCTACATTCAATGTTCGCAAGAGAAATCCAACAAGACACTATTGATAAAAGACGTCTGATCAAGATTCGCCTTACGCATTTGACTTCTCTAATTCTACGCGTCTCATAGAGTTCGAGTATGAACTTTTTCGTAATAGATACATATCAGACACAAGAAAAATACGCCAAACAATGTCATATCTGCAGTAGACATGTGCACTGAAAACGCAATTACATAACATACACAATGCTTTCTTTTAATAGAAAGACCTATCAAGAAAAGCTTCAAACAAATATTCCTGTTCTATCCAGTTGAAATTTTAAGCAAAGAAAAATTCAGTTGTATCAATAAAGAGGCAGCATCAATTTCTTGTTTAACTATCTAAACCATCCATCCTACATCACGCTAATAGTTTCAGCATTATCTAAAGATGGAAGCGACTAACTCAAATTCCTGTGCTCGGTTTAATAATGTTGAAATTCAAAAATAAAAATCATAGTTAGAATTTTAAATAAAATCCTACAAATATGAATCCTATCAAGGTGGCTTTGGGATTACGGTGCAAAAAAATTAGATCTGCTATTCAAACAAATGAATGCTTTATTTCCCTTATAAATGTAGAGTTCAGCCAGTTTTGAAGGTCGCAAAAGTATTTTAACTGAGTTTTCTAGATTTAATTTAACTAACAATGCGGTGGCAATAACTATTGGATACACTGAAAAAATCAAGTTTAGTTGAAAAGTAATTGACTTCATCGTCAATATCTCTTTAACACTAGTTCGTACACACTCTCATAAGTACATCCGAAAGATTATTGCGGTAGAATTTGCCGCAGCGCTTTACATATATAAAAACATAAATCTTTTATTGATGGTTAAAGGCAACAAGAACAAAAGTCATTTCGTAGGAAAGGAAAACAGATTTATATTGCGTTTGATAATTTATCAAGCGCATGTGCTCTTCAGTAACTGTTACTTCAAGGCTAGCAAAAACTTTAGTTGAAAAAAGTAGTTATGAAGGTGGATAATGTTGTTTGATTTTTATTCTTTTTATTTTGTTATTGACATACGTATATACGTACCATAAAATTAACAGACAAGATTTACGGCAATAATTGATGAGTAGGTGGGCGATTTTTGCCTCAGCAACAATCTGCAATTCATTCTAGTCGAATACTGATCAAACGCCAAGAATAGCATCGGTCATGAGTGCACAATGATCGATGCAAGCTACTCAAATGTCACCAGCTACAATGCGACAAAAATGTCGAACGATTGAAAACTATCTGGTTGTGTGGGCTGATGCAAACATTGACCTAAACAACGCAGATTGCCAACATGTGTTGACGCAACTGCGCGGTGCAGTCAATCAAGTGAGTACATGCACTACATCTACTGAATGCATTCAATTACTAAATGACAATAAAGAGGAGACAACATTTGTCATCTCCTCTGGTGCATTAGGACAACATCTACTGCCAGACATTCATCCCTTGCCAAAATTGAATGATGTGTCTGTATTTTGTAGCCGTAAACAGTTTCATGAAGAATGGGCCAAAAATTGGAAGAAAATCAAAGGTGTGTATACGTCGATCGAGCCAATATGTGACGAATTGCAGCATGCAGTCAAGGAATGTAATCAGGACAACATATCCGTCAGCATTGTTAGTGTGAATGAAGAAGATTCCAATAGAAAACTCAATCAGCTGGAACCCACCTTTATGTATTCACAAATATTCAAGGAAATACTCCTTCAAATGGAGTTTGGTGATCATGATATGAAAGACCTGATCAAATTTCGCCTAGAAGAATATCGAGGCAATGACAAAGAAATAAAGATTATCAATGAATTCCAACATGCTTATCGTCCAGAAAACGCCATTTCGTGGTATACCCGCGAGTGTTTCACTTATAAAATGCTCAACGGAGCTTTGAGAACACTCAATGGCGATATTATGATTCGAATGGGATTTTTTCTTTGTGATCTACATCAACAGATCGAAAAAATACATAAGACGCAAGTTGATAAGTATCATGGTAATATCTTCCAAGTTTATAGGGGACAAGGATTAACGTCAACCGACTTCAGCCAACTTGAAAAAAACAAAAATGGCCTTATATCTTTCAATAATTTCCTATCTACTAGTACAAACAGAGGTATATCACTTGGTTTCGCCCAAAAAGCCTTAAAAATGCCCAATATGATAGGCATTCTTTTTCAAATTTTGATTGATCCCTCGATTCAATCGAGCCCATTCGCCTCCATTCAGGAGATAAGCTATTTCAAGACAGAAGCTGAGATCCTATTTTCGATGCATACCGTTTTTCGAATAAATAGCATTGAAAAACTCGATAGCGAACGTCCACTATACCAAGTGGATCTTATACTCACGTCAGATGACGACAAACAACTCCGTGAACCTACAGAACTTATAAGAGAAGAAGCTTCAGGCTTCACAGGTTGGACACGATTGGGTAAATTGCTGATTAAAATAGGTCAATTCGACAAGGCCGAAAAATTATATAACTCACTATTGGAACATGCATCAAAAGACACCGATAGAGCGTTCTTCTACCACCAACTTGGCCGACTAAAAAGTGAACAAGGAAAGTATGAAGAAGCAGCTAAGCTGCTCGAAGTATCTCTCGCAATCGACCAAACAAGTCTACCAGAAGATGATGCTGATATGGCTATTACTTACGGCAACATAAGTTCGGTCTATTATCAACAGGGCAACTACTCGAAAGCACTTGAATTTTCCGTAAAGGATTTAGAAATCAAGAAAAAACCTCTACCGCCGAATCATCCCGATCTGGCTATCAGCTACAACACCATTGGGCTTGTGTATGGTGGTATGGGTAACTACACAAAGGCAACTGAATCTTATGAGAAAACACTTAAAATAGTAGAAATAGCTCTGCCTCCAAATCATCCCAACTCGGCTATTGCGTTCAGCAACATAGGCCAAATATATCAAAAAATGGGTGAATACTCAAAAGCACTTGAATGTTACGAGAAAGATCTGGAAATTAAGAAAAAAAGTTTGCCTGCAGATCATCCGAGTTTCGCTATTACTTTTGCTAATATCGGCCAAGTGTATGACAAAAAGGGCGACTACTTGAAAGCATTGGAATTTCTAGAGAAAGCACTTGCAATCCGACAAAAATCACTTCCATCAACACACCCACTAATTAAAGTAGCGATGTATAATGTTGACTATAGAAAAAAGAAGCTATAAATTTTCTTTTCACAGTTTTTCAATAAACCTACTCTGATTATTATTCATTGTTAGGAGCACACCCACATCATTCAATGCATGAAGATACATATAAGCACCGCAACAAAGGTGAAACGAATAGCAGTGTTTAGAATTTAATAGAGATTGTTCGCAATGTGTTTTTAGTCACGTTTGACGATACTATGAGTGCCTTATCGTTTGCTGCCATGCAATCGAGAAAGCACCTGTAAACAAACTAGTCTCTCGATATTTCAAGTAAGTTTATAATTCTAATAGTAAAATCTTAGGATTTATTAATTAGATCGAAATGTTTTTTTAACTGCCCATTCGGAGCGTTATTTTGGTGACTTCTCATTGCAAAGATGGTTGTGACAGAAAATATTACCCCTAGATTTGCGTGTCTAGCTAGAAACAATTCGGGAAAAATTCTTACCTTCGTCAGGTAACTTTTCAATGAACAAGTATTAAGTACAATATTTTCTATCTTGAGAGTATGGTGTATGACCAACTTTAGCTTTACTGTCGTTTATTTAATAATACACGTAAAACTACATAGTTTCTGTATGGAATATTTTCAATGCGTTGTAAAAACTCACCTGATTTTCGAATTTCCTCACCAGCACCGAAAGAATTTTCAAGCAAATTTGTTTTTTTTCAAGAGGTCCTTTTCGAATGCTCGTGAAACGGATATTCAGCAAACAATTCTTCATTCGGTTTAGATCCATGCATTGAAAAACTAACATGAATCTATCATAAAACCAAAAGATTGAGTTCAGACAAAACATAATGAACTTTCAATAGATACTTTGAGTGGCGATAAATGTATATTGTCAAAGAACATTCGAGTTTCATTCGTCGACGTATCAGTTTGAGCTTTAACAATAGCTTGAAGTGATTTGTGAATGTGTTCTAAATCCTGATCCATATCGATCATAGGTGTTATTGCATTCTATGATGTTATTCAATTGAGAAATATATCAAATCAAACATTTAAATGAATCATCAAAAAGTTAAAACTCTCACAGATAAAACAAACCTTTTGTTGCCTGAGAAAAATAAGAATAGCTAATATTAAACCTTGATCAACACGAAGTGCAAATTCTTGAATAAGTAATTTGCAATATCTAAATCATTTGTTTATGCTTGAATGCGTATTTTAATATCGGTCACCACTTACTGAAAATGCATTATATTTGATTGTAATGCTTTTGATTCGTAAATACTTAATTCAATAAATGGTTTTTCAACTAGAAAAACAAAATAAAGTCAAAGAATTATCGTACGCATTTTAATGTCTTTTCTTTTTCTTTGAATAATGAATCTCTTACTTAAATCAGAGTCTGCGCTTTTTGACAATATCGGATAGAGAGCACTCTGGAAATTCGTAGATTCTAGTTGATTATCAATTTGAATACGATTGATACGAGCATACAACGCTGCATTCTTCATTGACCATGTATATTCAATCCATAGGCCATCGAGAGATTTGCGTTTAGCTAATTTACGTTCACCTTTTTGATTGATTAGTTCAGCAGTATTCTCATGAAAGGTAACTTCCTATTAAAGATTTCGATACGAAAATCAAACGATCGTAGAACATGAGAAACGTACGCGATATTCAGGCATTTGATATTTTGTATGAACAAGACTTTGATCGGTTGGATTTATTTCTATGTGTTGTATGTGCGATTTATACAATTCTTCCAAGTTGGTATGAATTTTATAGGCTAATGGTTTTACTCGAGACTTTCCTACTTGAACCCAAAGAACTTTTGATTTTTTCAAACTAATATAGAGTAGTTCTTCTCGTGTAATATCATTTACAAGTGATAGGCCAACATTAGGAACGCCAAGTTGAATGCGTCGACAGATCGATTCACTTGAAGTTGATAACTATTTCAAATAAACATTACTTTACGCAAATTCAATAGTCAACAGAATGTTTTGTTCAAACACTTAGTGTAAGACTATTTCACCTCAGAGGAGGTCAACTAGTTTACAAGGTCTATTCAATACAATACATACGTTATATACTGATTCAATAATCTCCTTATTGTATGTAAAAAGTAATACAGTTTGAACATCATCAATAAATACTGCATAGAAAATAGTGCCGATGTTTTCATTCATACCGATAACACCTTGATGCGGCTATAAAAGAAAATTAAAAACCATGATGATATTTTGATTAAGTAAGCAAAAGGTCCGACTTACATTCAGTTCAATAATTACCGATTGGTTATTACAGGTGACAACGATTTCACGTGCTTTTAGTGGATCCGCCCATGTATAATAGACGGAATAATTTGGGACTAAATGTTGAGTTTTCCTATAGTTGAAAGAAGGAATTTTCTAGCATGAAAATATCTGAAAGAAAATAAATCTTAACTTACTCATCATCTTTTTGAACAAATGAAATTAATTGGTCGTCTGTATGATTGACAAGTAATACGGGTGCATCGCCTTGCTTATAATCGCTAAAAATAACTCGAACACCATCGAAATCAGTGGCCATAACTTCTACAAAAATAACTAGGCGATCTTGATCATTCGTATACAGTAATGTTTGATGTTTTTTATTCATAGAAAATGGTTTCGACGTCTTTTGATTGTGTGCATAGCGCACAAGTAGTAAACCATCTTTGGAATTTTGAGGCCAAAATGGAATAACCTTTCAAAAAAAAGTATATCACTAATGAAGAAAAGATTATATTTCTATAAATATCTGCTTACTCCATCAGGTTCGATTATCTTCCATTTATCTTGTTCTTTGCCCATTAAACTTTCAACAATTTCAATAGGAAGCTAACAAGTAAGAAACATGTTTACTCGTAATATTGAATAAAATCATCCTACTGAAGTTTTGTTTGTCATCACCATGGCTGGTGATAATATAATAGTTTTTGTTAAACCAAATGAACTCGTTTGAATATCGACACAAATCTATAAGAAAAAATGCAGACTACGAGTTACAGTTTAGCGGGATTTCCTCAGAAATATTAGGAGAAATGATTTTTCAATTTTAAGTTGGCATTGAACATAATCAGGAAAGTTTATAATAAAAATCTCATAAGTTTTGATTCGTAAAAAAAGGAACAGCGTATCTCTATAGAAAAATTACATACCATATATATTTTATTATTCGCTCCTTTACAGCTGGCCATTCCTATACTTTTGATAACATCAAGTGAAAATTTTTCTGACCAATTTTTCACTGAATCATCTTGTGTCACGCCATACAAACGAATTTGACCCTAGAAATCAATTCAGCCCAGATAAATTCGTAGGATTCTTTCAATTAGCATGATACCTTTTCACTTGAATCACTTTTATATTTATCCGGACAGACAAGATACTCGTTTTCAGTATTTTTAATCGAAACTCTTTCGTTGCCAATCTAAATATATATTTAAATAGAATTATTCGATCAAAAAACGAACAAAGTAACACATGAACATACTCGAAATTCAAGATTGAGATCAGTATGATTGACAATCCAATACGGTGCATACAGTGATAAACGCTGTACTTCATGTAATGTAGTCATATATAGACACATGCGCTATTGCAAAACATTAAATTATAGTGAAATTCTTTCTTCTATTTGTTACTTCATAAGTTGATTATATAAAATTTTATCACCAAAAACTAACTCATTATATTGCATTCTTAAAATAACATGGGACAAAACCTAGAGCTTCAATTCTAACTTAACATTCATTCAATTTTCTTCGAAAATCACTATAGGAGTGCTAAGAAAATGAAAACATTTGTTGTTCTTACTAATATATCTTGTTTGTTTGACGCCAAAACATCATGAAACGTAACGATCTGTTCATTAGAATTATTTCTTTTTTTTATTCCTAAATCAACAGGATCTGAAGTCCAGGTAATGCCATTGTAAGATGGAATCTTAAACACCGAAAAATAAATCAGATGTAGATTCCAAAAGCTTTGTTGATATTACATACAGTAAATTTTAGTATCGAATTTTTGCCACCAGATGAAATATGTTGTAGCTGACTTGGTGTCAGATGAACATGTTCTGTAGTCTATTAAAGACAAAAAATATAGCCTCTTAAGACAAACTTTTTCGCGCTACATTTGTCATCGAGCATTGAATATCAATCGGCAAAAGGTTTGTCAAATGAATTGGTGAATGAATATAAATATTGTACGACATTCGATCCAGTTGATCTGTATTCTCTGAATAAGCGTCTTTTGTTTCTTTGCATATCTATCCGTAGAAAATTCAAATAGACGTCAAATTATCGTAAGACGATGATACATACAATAAAGTGAAATATTTTTCCATTTTTGGATTTTAATTTTTGTTCTTGCGTTGTTGCCTTCATCCAATCGAACGCAAAAAAATCACCCTTCGGTCCACTTTGATCATTTCTATAACAACGAATGCACAAATTTTCTTGCTCTATTTTTTAGATCTTTTAAAAGTCATGATCATTAGAAAAATCTGTATGGCACACTGGATCATGCTTTTGTAAAACTCATACTATTAGAAGGTAGTTTCCCCGACAGCTAAATATCGTGTTTTTTTTTATTATAGATCCTATTCTAAATTCTCTAATAAGATGTGTCGTACTCATCTGTGCTAATAAAGATGGATGGGTTATTAGTTTTATAGAGAAGGTTAATTGGAACAGAATAATATTCATTGATTTCAATTCGATAGTAAGATTTTCCTGTAGTTGAATCACGGTCTAAGATGAACATGGGTATTGTTGTGTTATTGTAGATCTAAAATCAGGAGAATAAATAATGATTTCAAAATTTTGTATCATATCAAACTTTGACAATTGAACTGAGAGTAACGCGTCGTCGGTTTTGATCGATTTGAGTATCACAAAGTAATTGAATTGGGAAATTTAAATGCGTTGATGGTTTTATATCATATATGCGTTGCCATGTTCGATTAATACTTATCAATTTAACATTATTATCAATCTAAATTACGACCAAATAAATAAACGAAACGATAAAAATAAAAGTTTACTTGAACAGAAAATTCTTGTCGATATTCAGAAGTTTGTTTTTCGATCACAGAAAGTCGATAAACTGATGATAATCGTTCAGCAGATGCAGTCAATGGAATTGATTCACTTTGTTGGATAATTGTCGAAGTCCATGTAATATTATTAGTAAACTTAAAAGAATCAAAAGAAAAATATTCAATCGAAATTTTCTTTGTAAATAAAATTACTTCGAGACCATTGAGATTCTCAATACAAATCGGTTGTCCCGTTAAATTCATTAATGTTAACATTGATTCATTATTGTCAATATTTTTAGGTAAACGTTGATTATAAATATCATTGAATAGAGATGATAGATTTGCCATAAGTTCAAGACCTGTTTTTGTTATAGTGATATTTAATAATTGCTGAGTTCGAATAAATATCAATTGTTTAGCATCAAGGCCAAGAACTATTTTTTCTTGTTTTCCTTTTTTTGATGATGATGATTCAACACGATCAACAATCGGTAGTATCTAAATCATTTTTATTATCAAGTCATTATTATTTTAAAAAAAGTACGCATATAAAAAGTCTATCGACCATGAAACACATTTAGAACTCACAGGTTTTATTGAACACATAACACTCAATGGGGCAAGATGCATTTGGTTTTCGTCTAGTATTGGCTCAATAAGTGGTTCCCATGCTAGAGTATGTTCGTTGTATAAAGCTGCTTCGATGTCCATTGTCAATGAAGCAGTCATCTAAAATATAGTCGCGTGTCTACAAATCACAATAAACAATCTTATACCTCATCTGACCAATTTTTAACATTAACAGTCGAATTCGATAGACACATAGCAACAACCGATTTTGTTACAGAACCAAAACCAATATCAAGTTTTATTTCCATAGTTGTTAATGTTAACACAAACTAATCGAATACAGGAATATTGAAAGAAAAATAGGATTAACTATATGTGTACTTGTTCAGTAAGATACTTTTCTACGTTCTTCTGCTGTTTAACAAGAGATTTTTCTTGTGCTGAAATACCACTCAAGCCTTCTAAATATGTCAAAATTTATTCAATATTATGTGCCTTATACTGGCGGTCCTTATGCATGCGTACTCTAAAATAAATCATACGAACGTTTACCTTTCAAATACCAAAAATCAGATTCGTTAAACGCTTTTGGATCAAACATATTTTGAGTATCGAATTTCTCTTGTTTACTTGTTGGCTAAAAAACAACGTCGAATGCACGTTTCATAATACTAACTCTTCGAAATTTACCGGAGGTTTACTTAATGAATTAGTAACTCCAATAAGTATGCGAACCGCAACTGGCATAATATTAATAAGAATATGTGAACAACGAATGTCAATTTTTTGTTGTTCCAAATCCATAATTACTGCTAGATCAACTGTTGCTGGTTGTAAAATCTAAACAATCATAAACTCAAAAAAAAGAACAAAGAAAGTCGTATGTTTATTTCCATACTCGATATTTAACTTTCGACGATTTCAGTTCAGCAAAATTCGAAGTATAAATTGTCAAGTCGTTTAATGAACCGAATACTTTTGTATCATAGCCGAAGTTCATCACGCGCATCTTCAGTGCAAACTAGAAGTGAAGCAAAATAAAAACTATCCTATTGCAACTCGATTCCTAGTTGTATCGCTTACGTTAAGTACAATACAATGAGAGTTAGCATTGTGCTGATCTTCGAGTAAAATAATTTCTGGATTTTTAACAACAATTTCAATTCTGGTGTCAATTACGGATGCTGTAGACGTTTCACTCGATTGATATTGCTTAGATATTGTTCTAGTTTGAATATTATCATTGGATATCTGCAGATTTTTATCAATTATGGGTAAATCTGACATGAAAAATTCTTTTAATATCATTAAATAATCCAATTTAATACAAATATAAAGACTTTCCAATTTAGCATTTACTACCATCGAAAAAAAGAAAAAGTATTTATTTATTTATTTATTTACTCATTATTTATTTAATAGACTTACGTAGTTGTTGAGCTACTGAGCGTGTTTTATTTTCCGGTTTAAATTCTAGACTTGTATTAAGCATGTATGCATTTGGATCAACAGTAAAATGTCGATCGATCATATGTACAACGGCACCGACTTTATCGGCTTCTCGTATATCATCAAATCGAATGTCTTTTACACTTGCTGTGACTTTAAAACTTGAATCGGAACATTGCCGAAGGAGAACGTCAAGTACATCGACTTCTACATATGCTAATGCCAATTTTTTATCATGTTTTTCATAACGCTCGATCTATATTCGAAAGGATAGTAAAGTAAATGCAAAAATAATAATAAAAAAACAAACAGCAGACCAATTTCGATTCACCGAGATACAGTGTAACTGCAAGTTTTGTGAGGCCTGCTTGAATTTTTATTTTTTCGAATATTTCGTCGGTCTTGCATTCTAGAAGAAAAAGATAAAATATTTTGTTTATATTTTTCGAACTATGAAAAATATTAAACCGTTTTGTTTTTGAATCGCAGCAGTATTTCGTAAAGCATTTTCTTCTCGCTTTTGTTCGTCCTGTCGATAACTGTATTGTTCGAGAACAACATTCGTTGTTGTTTGATCATGAAAATTTTCCGCGAGTATTTTCATTGCACATAAATAATCGGTTTTAGCTAATTGAAACTAAAAGAAATGAACGAAAGAAAAATACAAATTCAACTGAGGTTTTTGAAATAATCTACATGAATTAGATCTAATTGCATTGCTATTGAAATTTGTGCTGAAGATTTGATTTTTTCAAGATCTAAAAGTCGATCAATGACTATTTTGAAGTTGGCACAATCGAGCAAAGTGATTCCACTTTCTACTTCGTTATTTTTATCCAGTTTAACACGAGTTACAAGAACATTTTCAATTTTGATTTGTTGTTGTTCAACAAGCGATGTATTTTGATCGTCGATAAAATTCGTTGCTAAATTAATTTTTCCTAAATCGAGAAATAGTGCTTCGTCTGCATAGGCATTTATTGGAACGATGATATTCGGTGCATTAAATGTAGCATCGAGACGTAGTTTAAACGCTTGTTTTTGTAACTTTTGTGCTTGTTCGTAAACATGATTAGCTTGATTTGAAGCAAGTTCCAGTGCTGCCTTTGTTATATCCAATGCATCAAGAAATCCCTATATTATAATTTAAAAGATAAACGACGTCAGTTGTGAATGTCCACGGGCACATACCATTATTTGATTAATGTGTTTGTAGAGTAAAACGATGTTTGCTTTTGCAAAATTAATTTTGAGACTAGAATCAACATCATCAAGAGTCTTTTTGTAGCGTTTTGGATAGTTAAATAGAACCATAGAAGCTGAAAACAACTCTTTGTCTCCACTTTGTTGTGAAATAATCTAAATGAAACACATATAAATACGAAGTCGAGATGTACGAATAAAATCTCTGCATAGGAAATCTATAGTTCTCCTTGCTTCCTGTAGTTCACTTTCAGTACAATTAAATAAACACTGACCTTGCGAAATCGAGCATCGGTATGAGGATCGACTATACAAAAATCGGTCAGAACTAAATTGACGAGCGTTTGATCAGATTGATGTCGAACATTAGCGTTGATACCTGTAAATAAAACAATTTCTCAGAGGAAAAATTTAACAACAAGATCAAACCATGAACGTAAACCTCAAACATTTGAGTATCTATCGTTGCAATAACTATATGGAATTGTTCTAAATTTGCTTCCATTTCGAGTGTTGTTGCAGTTGAGATATCTTTAACGGGAAAGCAAAAAGCTCATTTTGAAATTCAAGAGAATATTCTTACTGTTTGTCTTCATAAATTTGCTGAGAGTTGATACGGTTTCATGTTCTTCTAAGGTTTTCTCAGCTTGTTCTTCAACAGTTGCACGCGGCCATTTTTCCATGATATTATTTTGAAACTTCATAATGGATAATAACGCTTCTAAGTGCATCGTAAAAATGAGTTTATTCAACTGTATGCGAACTTTATTTTCTATTCCATTATATTGCGGTGATTTAAATAGTGGATTGTCTGGTGATGTATGTAGAATATGTATGCTAACTAATTCTTTTGAGTTCATTTTAACGTCTACTTGATTTTTTTCATGTTGAGCAGCGAGAAATCGCAGATGCTGATTATCTTTTGTTATAAATTGTTCATGATAAATAATAAAATCATGTAATGATACTTCCAATTCGATATCGAATGTTTTAATACATGTTTGAGCACATATTGATACGAGGGAAATTCGAAAAATGGGATAACTTTGATTTTCTCTTTCTTCTTCCAATAAAATTTCAATCTAAATAAGGGAGATTTACAGAGAAACAAATAAATTCTATAGAACAATCAATGGTGTTGTAGTTCAAATTTCTTTTCGGAGTAATCAAACGTTCGTTTAGACATAGTTTTCGTTTAATCAAGAGAAGCGGAGTTTTAAAAAATTGTGCTCATAATTACCTGTGAAATTTTAAAATTAGCTTCGAATTGTGCAAATTGTTCTTGGACTTTCTCAACAATTTCTTGGCTTTCATCAGCTACTGTCGGAAGCAACTTTTTCAGGTGTGCCATATTCTCGATGGTTTCTAATGTCAACTGCGTAATATCAATTGAAGGTACTCTTGTCCACGTTTCAGCCTCGTTTGTTTTCGATTGCTTTTTAGATTCTGGAAGTGGAAGTGATTGCATATGTTTTACAATATTGAATAGACGCATGTCCGAAATACGCATATTTATAGCTGGAATTTGTCCTGAAATCTTCCAACTACAAAATAGAATGGTGATTAAACAAAATTTGTGTTAAAAATACAGCATACAGAGGCAGATTGATACTATCCGTAAAGATACATTTGTAAAGATTTATGTAGAGTGTGATTGGTTTAATTAAATGTAAATGAGTACTTTCTTGTTGACGTGCGTCTTGCCAATTTTCATCTAAACAATTAGAAAATCGATTTATTTCGAATAAGAACGAATACTATTTACTTTTGTTCGCATAGAGTAATTGAAAATTTTTCAATTCTAATTGAAATTTAGTATAGTTAGCCTAATAAAAGAGAAAAAAAGAGAAAAAAATGAAATTAAAATTCTATAAATTTACCATAGTTTCTTTATCTTTTTGATCGGTATTGATGCTTTGTTTTAGAATTAAATGACCCATGTCTAAGCAAATAGCTGGGCAACCCCTGACAACAAATAATTGAATAAAATTGTTCGGAATAAACTAAGAAAGCTTACTCATAGTAAACACCATTTTCAGGCAGAAGAAAATAAGACGATTGTAGGTCAATGTAGATATCGAGTACTTTTATTTTCTCTACATTGTTTTTCATGAGTGATACAGACTGATGTTTAACATCTGTATAAGTTGCAGAAGCTGCTTTTTTAACACTATTAAAAAGACAATCACATTCAAAATCATCTTTCATCGTTTTATTTTTACCCTTGCAGATTATGTCGAGTATCTTGTTCGAAACATTCCACAAGTTTATTGATAGTAGGCTAGAATAGTGAGTCATACTTTTATGTATTCGTTTTTAGGCATTTAAATATTTACTGCATTATATTTAATTTCAAGTGATTGTGATATGACTTTGATACGATAATCAGAGTCTTTATCTAATGGATTAGTCTCGAGCTCGATTTGTAATAGTTTCGGTTGGTTTAATTCGTTATTTGAGGATGACAATCGATTTGCTGGATGAATTAGAATAGGACGACTATCATTGGATAATTCTGACTGTTTCAAATCTGTCGTGATACCGAATACTTGAAATGAACTTAAACTTGCAAAAATTCTAAAATCAAAAATTGTTTTAAGAAAATGAAGACAGCAACATATCATCGTTTACAAGATAGACGATGTTGCTGGACGTCGTTTAAATACTACTTCTGTATTAGGTAGAGCTGCACGAGTTATAACTCGGGATCTAAAATCGAAATAGAATACGTTTTGGAAAATATCAATCATCAACGATGCTTACGCTTCGTCGTTGTCATCAATTTTTGACCAGATATTGAAATCGAGCATTACCAATCGAACGGCAAGATCAATATCAATGTACTGAATGATTAGTGTCATGTGTAAATAGGAAGAAAAGAATACAATATATAATACGTACATCTTTTGGATAAGTTATTGTCGATGTATCTTCACCTTCATAGCCAATACTTTGGTATAATTTTTTCTTCTCTTCAGCGGATAACAGATTTTCTAGATCTAGTTCTTAAAAATGAAAAAAAACATAATATTGGCCAAGATTACGTTGCATTCTTTTCTGTGGAACTTCTCAACTTTCGAGTGTACAGCATCACTAACCTGGATCCGATTGACTGGATTTTTTATTCCACAAATTGGAAAATTTCTTCAGAAATTTTTTTGGCTCTTCTTTTTTCTTTCTTGCCTGAACAAAATAAAATTCGTTTTTTTATTTTGAAATTCTAAGAAATAAATCAAACTTCAAGTTGAGCACGTTGACGAATATAAGTTAAATTGAATACATCGAGTTTTTTTTCTAATACCTAAATTTGTTTTATTTTTACAAATAATTCTCAATAATCAAAATCAAGAAGTTTATTCTCGTACCTCAGCACGTTGCTTTTGTTCATTGGTTATTTTTCCTGTAAGTTCTTGTACATAAATAAAACGATATTCACGACAATTTTCTAAATGTGTTTTTATATTCTTCCATTTAAAACATTCTAAACGTGGTCTAATTTTCTCATCAACAATCGCATTATAAGCAAATATCCATCTAAATTGCAGTAAAGTTTGTTCATGTAAAACATTTATTTTCATATTAAACTACAATACTACTTTTGTCGTATTGTATCAAATGTTTTTGGCCGATATTTTATATATTTTAATCTAGCACTAATATGATCTTGAAATTCCAGTAAATCGATTATATCCAAATACTAGTAAATAAAATAAAAACGTATAGTTTCTGTTATTGTAATGGCAATTAAATCAACCTGAGAACGATTTAAATTCAAACTGATCTGTCCTAAATCAATGGCTATATAGAACATAGGTCTTTGAAAGTTTAATTCGCGAGGTTTCATCGTCATAATTAATTTAGCTTTCGCATTGAATGGCCGAAAGACTGAAACATAGATAATGTAGACGATCGGAAAGTCAAACTGAAATTCCTATACGAACTATATAACATATCTTGCGGTGCTTTTTCATTATCAACAGCAATTTTTGCTTGTAAATTATTCTAAATTGAAATTAGATTATTCTAAATTGAAATAGATTAACTTACAATGATTTCATTTCGTTGTAAAATTGAATTTGATTTAATATTTGTATTCCAATAGATTGATAATGCGTTCAATTCTCCAAGCTAGGAAGCGAAAGATCATTATTTTGATTGATTCAATTTTAAGCAGTAGCGATTAGAATTAACATACTTTATGAATAACTGGGCTATTTTCTTTGGTTATTGTTGGTTTCCATTCTTTATTCGTTGTCTAGAAAATAACGATAAGGAAAATAGAACAAATGGCACTCGTCACTTTTGAAATGCCTTTACTTGAAATGTAATGTAATTGAGTGTAATACCGAATGCAAACGGATGATTTGGTTTTGTTGTTCTATCTTCGTAAACAAGATGAATATTATGAATAGACAATTCAAGATTTTGAATAATTTGTAATTTTAATCGTGCACTAAATGTATCATTGTCTTTTTCGACTTTCTTTATATTTTCTTTAGAAGAGAAAAAAAGATGATGATATGATTAGATTTTATTTCAATTTTTACTCTGATCTTCTTTGTCTTTTTGAATTTGTTCGATTTTATCAACTTCTTTCATTTTAGCTTCATGTCGCTCTTTTTCAGCTTGTTTAGCATTGTATGAAATTTCTATGAATAAATATAGCGCGATGTCACGATCACGAAAAGAACAAAGAACAAACCAATTCTAGGTATAACAAGTAGATACAGGCCATCGATAGTAAGTTTGGTTGGATGAGTATATAAGTTTTTCCATGGAACTTGAAGTGTAAGTTTTTCTAATAGGAAGAAAAACAATGAAAACTACACAGTGGCCATAATTAAATCTTACTAAGGTGTCCAACGATTATAGTTAATGGAAGATCAAGGTCAGCCTAAAATTTACAGAAAAAAAAACCGTTTTAAAATATATAGAAAATAATTTACAAGAGCATTTGGTTTTAAATAAACATTTTCTAGTACAACATTACCTAGAAATAATATATTAGTTTTAGAGGATACATGATTTGATTATACATACCACTCCAAACGTCAATTTTAAGCTTTTTAGAATCAAAATTTTCAATATATTCACTCAAATATTTCTCCAATAAATGTACAACAAGTTTCTCGAACACCATTGTTGGTCTATGTGTAGAAAAAGCAGAAGTTATTTTTGAAAATTGCTACTTCATTTGTTTGCTGTGTATGATAGTAAAGATAAGACGATCGTCTTTGCTTCATGTGTAACTAAGCATACAGGTGAATAAGAGTTTATTTTTAACAATAATCAAGAAATGACAAGGTCTGGTATAATTGTTATAGAACTTACAACAACGAATTAAAATGTGTTGTTTTTTTTATCTTCAACAGGAATTGAATCGATGTGTTTTTTGTATTTTAAGTATGCCCATGAGAAATCTCCTTGAGTTTTCATTTGTTGACTCAGAAAAGTATAGTGAGTGTTACAGTTACTGTTGCTGATGTAAATCAATATTTACATATGAAAAACCTCAAGATCACATAGCTTTCAATCATGTAAGAAATTTTTGTTTACTGTGCATCAGAGCAGCCAACGGGCTTCTTCTTTCAGATACACTATAATTATTTATCACTTAAAACATCCGCCTATTAAGTGAATTTTCTTTTGTATGCACCAATATGTTCGTAACTTTGAATTAAAGTAAATTTTTAAAAAATGAAATGAATTTTTAGAGTTTCTAAACGTTCAGTGATAATCCTGATTGCTTGTTCATGCTGTTGTCATTTGTGTTGGTGAAAATTTCTTTTCCGAATAAAAAATAACGAGTAAAAAGCGTTGGAGTAGCGTCAGATTTATATTTTTGGAAAATCACGTCATACTATTGTGTCACGTTTGACAAATGTAAAAACATTCACCTACATATATTGATTATAGATAAAAGGATATGGGTTCCCTCAGTATTACGTTACATTTCAATACAAACGATGGCCTCAATAGCGATTGCCTTTTTTATATTGGTTCTATTCAGGTAACTATAAATTCCATTCTGTCTTTTTATTGATCTAGTGCTGAAGATTTTTTTTTGTTTTTAAGCCTGACAGGTTTGATTCTTGTTTCGTTTTATATTTCATATTATTGACTAAGGGTTTTGATAGCTCCAGTCAAATCACAAACATGTCATGGCATGGCACAATATGATCCATGTTCATCGCATACTGCTTGCAGCTGTTTTCATTTGGCAGATGATCATGAGAGTGGTATTTGTACTGATGAATTCTTGAGTTCTTGCTCTGAGTTAGTTCCATGCAACGAACAAACAAATCTTTGTAATGAATCTGATCATACGTGTCTTCAGCATCCTCGATGCTACCATCATTCTGTTTGCTATCCAGTGCCAAGCTTCAATCAACAATATTGTCCGCCATTGACAAGTAAGAGAAAAAAAAGTCATTTAAAGAATCAAATATGATCTGGTCCATTTTTTCGTTTGCGTTTCTATCATTCTCACTCAATCGCATATGATATTTATGCTAGTGTGTGAATCTTGGAAAGTTACTCGAGAGCTTCTGTCACAAGTAGATCAAATCTCGCAGCAATGAAATGGATATCACTGTCTGATGCTTATCTTTAGTCAGGCGTAAAATAATCTAGCAAAATGCACATGCCTAGCCCTACATATACGCGCTTAGTCATTTTGTGAAAAACGACCTGAAGGAGTGTTGCAGTACATAGGGTAGAAATTTGAAGCCCCCACAAGGCCGTGACAGAGAAATAAATAAATTAGTTAGTTAGTTGGGTAATTAATTCATTCGTTAATTTCTCAGTCACACTCTGTAGCGGTTTCTGAAGTCTCTAAACGGTATGCGATGGTCTCTAGAGGTTCCATACATCATAATACAGACCGAGGTGGACGGATTCCAGAAACGGACCTTCACTGTGTTTCACATTTTAATCCCACAGGAACTGCGCTAACAGCTTTTTTTAAATTTGTATCGACATTCACCCTGACATACACTGAGCAATTTTTCACCCACGGAATACGTTCACGGTTATACCATTTAAACTTGCATACGTTCTACATCACGTTCTATCTCAGATGCAAGATTATCCGATATACTTACATTTGTATTTCACCAACCTAAATAGCTACAACCACTACCACTACAACTACCACTACCACTACAACTACCACCCCCACTACCACTACCACTACCACTACCACTACCACTACCACTACCACTACCACTACCTCTACAACAACAAGTACGAGCACCACTACAACATCAACTACAACTACAACGACAATGCAAATATCAGCTGTTGCTGTTAGTAGTCTAGCAGCATACTGTGGTTGTGCAGGATTCACCTTATCACTAACGAATATGTCATTTAGTACGAATGGTACTACCTATCAATGGCAATCATCACCATCCGGTCAGAATATCTGGTCGAATGCTAGTTCAGTTAGTTCTTCTTCGTCGTTGGCTAAGACGAGTCAAGGTAATTCAACAGATTATCAGTGTCAAATCTTTGTTGTTAGTCCATCAATAACGACTTGTATATCGACTGTTGTCACTGTCTTAACCACCACTTATACTGCATATTGTCAAACGAAATCTGTCAATTGTAATTGTTGTGGCGACAATCTCAATAACTTTATATTTATTGGTGAATCAGGCACACAAATCGAAGATATAAATANCCAAAAATAAAATAAAGAAAGTGGGACGCCTAAGCCCTTCAAATCTGAATATGGAGATTTTTATCATAAAACCTGCAACTCGAGCCACAATTAATAACATATTTGGAATCAGCGCACAAAAACTGATTCGAACAATGAATATTTTAAATACTTTCGGTAACTTCTTTTTTCTACCGAAAATTTACCTGGGGTACTCCTCAGAGTTCACAGTCCGATAATAAAAAATGACCCTTGCTAGTGCTCAAGCATGTGATTTTTTTTTCTATATTACTAAGCATTTTGCATGCTCCACGATTAATTAGTGCTGTCCAAGTTACTTTCTGATTAGTTTCATTTTTTGACTGAATTCTGACGAGTACCCCAGGTAAATTTTCGGTAGAAAAAAGAAGTTACCGAAAGTATTTAAAATATTCATTGTTCGAATCAGTTTTTGTGCGCTGATTCCAAATATGTTATTAATTGTGGCTCGAGTTGCAGGTTTTATGATAAAAATCTCCATATTCAGATTTGAAGGGCTTAGGCGTCCCACTTTCTTTATTTTATTTTTGGCAAATTCAAGCACTTGCTAGCCAAGAACAGTCGATTGTACCATCAATTTCAGTTAATTCTACAGTCATTTAGAGCCAATTCTATACCGATTTTAGGAATTGAATTGCGTCGAATTGGAATTGGTGTAACCCTATCTCTGATAAACTTGAAGCAAATGCCGGAGAGTTGATATTTTTGGTTTTCTAACAATGAGATAGTGACTTGAATTTTTTCGAATAATACAACCGGTTTTCTAAACTAAACCAAATCACACTCATCTTTTTGATAGTGTAGAAAAGTTCATAGAGGAAAGGTTCATTTTTCCAATATTCAATAACTGTTTTAATTACACTCAACTTCTGCATCTTGTTTGAACTATAATCTTTAATGTTTTTTCCACGATTGTCAGATAATATTTTTCATATTCAAAAGTAGATTTCTTTCACAGAGAAAAAGTGTTCTCCGTTTAATAATGTAACTATGAGGCATAGCTAAACTTTGACTAAGCATTTAATATAAATGAATTAATCAAATCTACATTTGAACTTCTATTGTATCATCGAATTTGACCTAAAACTGCATTTTTATTGAGAATACTGCCCATTGAAGAGGTTGTATGTTAGGTGAATAATGAGGACTTCGATGTTCGGGGTAGACTTTTCTCCATCCACACTCCTCTTGAAGCTTTGACTTCTAATCATAAGATAGTTTTATGCAGGCTTGATATATTGGGATGAGGTTTTTACTGTGGGCTGCCTAAGCGGCGATACACTTGCATTAGAAATTCCATCAAGATCCGATGGATAAAAATAATTCTTTTTTGTTTGCATGTTGTTAGCATCATTAACGATGGTTGGTGTTCAGCATGGTTTGAACCCGGCTTCATTGCCATCGAGTTGGTCCAAGTGTCATCAAAGTCTTTATAGTGATGTCTTGCATCAGGCTAATGTGACTGGAATCCTTCGTGATTGTAACAAGAGCTTTCTTTTACTTGCTTGTCGACCTGTTAACAATACCCATTTCACTGTAGCTGCTATGGGCTATCGAAGTGATGTTCTCTATGATTGTGGCAGTGGTACCACTTGTACTCATGTAGCAAACGGAGTCGGCTGGTACTTTTCTGACAATTACTCGTGGGGTTTTGTAAATGGCACTGAATCAGTCACACGCAACAGATGTGATACACACCCTATACAAGGTGGTGTGAACAAACTCTGCTGGCATACAAATTGGAACATAGGTGGTTATAAATGTGGTTCTAACATTGAACTAAATAGTGACGGGACATATGCGCGATTTATCTATCATTCAGATTGAACACTGCTGTTTCGCTATGTGAATTACATCCAGCATTGAAAAGACTATTCTATTTCTCCTGATCTTATCGCTTACTAGTTCTGCTCTTTTGAAATGTCAATTACTATTACATCTCAAATTTACTTGCAAATAATACTGCGAAATATAAATATTAAGAGAACATATAATTACACTGAGTTTACTCCTCTGTGTAACTGTTATGGATCTTTTTAGTCGCCAAAAAGGATGAGAACGTGAAATCAAACTTCCATTTATGAATGTCTTCGAAACGATCTTAAGTCAATGGAATCTTTATAATTCAAAACACGAATTTCTTTGATTTCAATTCGCATTTCGAAATGAATAGAGCTGCATGCTCTATAAGTGTTATAACTATCACAATTGATCGCTAACATATCTTGAAAACAATTTTTGCTATTTATATTGTCAAACACCATAGACAATATGAACAAAAGCAAATACTCTAATAGAATTTTTTTATTAATCTTGTTCAGATATAACTATCATCCGATGATGATCAATACTCGACTTCGAGAGGAATCTCAATTATCTACGAGGTGTTTGAATCGAAAGCGTTCATGCAGATCTAGCATTGATCATCGCATCAAGGTTCGATTTGTAGAAAAGAATCTCAGAATCTGGCATTCACGTTTGAGTTGATTGCATATTCTTTGGAAACGCTAGGATGTGGATTTAGATTTGCAATCATAGAAGTAGAACTATTGTATTGGTGGATGATGGAACAACTAACTGTCACACTCACATATATAATCTTATAGAAAGTTACGATCACTTTCATATTACTTAAGATTTATTCTATAGTCTACAATAACTATTGAAAATTCTTTCTGATTCTTCTTTTTTTAATGTAGTTATCTAAGTACTTTCTATGGAAGTACTCTGACATAGTACACTTTTTCTTAATTATATTTAAATGTTATACTTCGTACATCACATAAAATACTGTTGTTCTTGAGCATTGTGGTATCGAGTGTATCTGAGAATGATCGAGGTGATATTATTTTTCTTGGAGGTTTTTGTTTGCAACTAGCCTTATAACATTACAGATTAAAAAATAAAAAGAAGATTCAATCTCGTTATTGACTTTTGCGAATTTTATATTTGTTCAAGTCTAAAGATCTACATGTGCTTTTTTTGTATTCTGTGTTCAAGATTCAATCTGCACCAATGATTACAGTAGACTGTTTGTTGGGTTGTAGCTTTCCATGCGTATTTGTACCAGATCTAATCGTTAAAAAGTACCTGATAAAAGAAAGAATACCAACTAAAATTACTTCAGCTATAAAACGTTAACAGTGCTTTAATGCACAATTTAAAACAATAAATGAAACGATAAAAAAAAACATTATATCTACATCCCAAAAAAAACGAAGTCCAATGAGCAAGTTAGGCTGAAAAAGTTCTCTACATAACGTAATATTGAGTGTTATTATTTCTTTAGGGCGAATAAGTCATTAAAACAATGTGATAAGAAGGAAAACATCTCCAGGAGTGAATTTTCTTTCGAATGGTTAATCGAAAAATACTCGTTAGCGATGGACCTCCATCTTACACATAATTCTTATTTTAATTAGAGACAATTTTGCTCATCCATATTATAAGTGTCAAGGGTTGACACAGTAAGCTACTCGTTTTTATTCACTATTATTTTTCCGAATTCATTGTAGGGATTTAGTAGACTATGAAGCTTAATGAATGATTTGCTTATGCTATATAATCAATCTGTTCTCTTTTTTCTAATGACTATACATTCCATAGCAAGTTCATACGCCCAGGTCGATCTTTTCGATCACCGGATACTGTAGGAATCGGCCGGAAAGACGCGGAAAAGTCACCGTATTCCGTTCGGAAAAATTTCGAAGTGTTTCCCGATGATTTACTGTCGGTTCCTGCCGGAAAGCACTGTAAGTTGACCAAAATTCACCGGAAAAAAATCCGAGAATTTCCAGTCGGAATACTGCTTCCACCTTCCAGTGATTTCCCGTGTTTTTCGGCCGTATCGTCGCGATCTAGACGTATTTTCGCTCATCAAATGTATCGAATTTTCGATTTGAGCATCCTTTTTATAATTACAATGCAACATTGATATTATATGATTGAACACGCATCGACAGCTTCCCATTTTTGTACTTTATTTACTCACAATCTTATCATCAATATTGTAAGTAGCTGGAGGCATAACACGGATGCATGAACACGACAAGCTGCTTACATTCGTTGACCACGTGAACCCAATCTTTAGCAATCTAGTCATTGATGCTTTGGAATTTAATTGACTCTTCGCAGTAGTCCAATCCTAATCTACGATTTTTACGTCCTTTGTGAAGAGGCTCTTCTTGTGTGCAAAGAGTCAAGACAAAAATGATTTCGTACTCTGCATCACATCGAAGTAAGCTGTCTATTACAACTTACCAAGAGATAAACGATCTTTACTGATTAAATATACGTTGCGATGACGAAATTGTGCGAGTTGGTGGCACCATCAGTTTGCCAGAGCAATACTTTTATAAACTAAATTAAAGTTGTACTATCAGAAGATTCTACAAATCAATGTTTAATAGCATGTCTTTGAATACTATGTCACAGCAGTGTACACAGTGATGTTAATTCACTAGCTAAAGAACCAATGCAAAATTAAAAATAAATGTGGAAACTTCGGATTTCATCCGAGAGTTACATGTACTGCAAAAAGTGCATGGGGCATATGAGTCATTCAAGAATGTCTGAGCATCAAAATTATCATGAGAAACTAGGCAATTTGATTTCTGGATGTAGTTTTTGTGCATTTTGAGACGTTTTTCAGGCGATGTTTCGTTAGAAAGCTATGATTTAGNATGATAGGTAGATCAGCACAAGTGAAGAAAAAAATATCATTATTGCGAAAAGTATTTTTTTTTCATCATGTTTATTCTCATCGTCACGTATTACATTATAAACAAAATGCTCAATCCATTAACAGATTACGTACGTGATATGATGTTAAAATATATGAACTTGAAAAGTCTGATCAATAAATGATCTCTAATAATGGAAGTACTCGAGAAACTTCATGGATTGTAACCAAATGCCATGATTTACTAATGGAGTCTCACTCTTTACTATTAATGCTACAAGAATTCAAGCTCCGGGCAACATTTCCATCAATCTTATCTCCGACTCCATACAAGTCTACTTATATGTATCGATTCAGGGGATGAGAAAACATTTTAAGAATGTATACGATACTGAGTGTGACTCAATTGAATGCATACATATGCTAGAATCAAATATGTACCAAATAAAAATAACAAGTTAGGTACTGCAATGGCGGTGAAACTGATCCAACTCTCATGTTGAGCAAACATAATAAATAAATCGGTCAGTATTGTTTCTTGATCGTTTATACTGAGAGCTGCTCTGCTCCTCCTCTTAAATGGCTGATCTTGACAGAAAAAGATTTAGCTAACTAAATTTGAAAATTACCCACAATGTAATCTTATGAGGAGCGGGCATTTCTCGAAATCAAAAATCGATAATGAAAGTCTTACTTTGCTTCTTTGTTGTAGTTGTAGCTTTCGTTGTTGCTTTTGTGGTAGCTTTTGTCGTAGGTTTCGCTGTAGCGTTCATTGTAGTTGTAGTTTTCGTCGTAGTTTTCGTCGTAGTTCTCGTTGTAGTCGTACTGGTAGTTCTACTGGTAGTTGCAGTTTTAGTTGTAGTCTTAGTTGCAGTCGCGGTTGTAGTCGTAGTTGTAGTTTTAGTCGTGGTTGTGGTTGTCGTTCTAGTCGTAGTCGTGGTTATAGTTGTAGTCGTAGTAGTAGTTGTACTTGTAGTAGTTGTTGTAGTAGTAGTAGTTGTTGTTGTAGTAGTAGTAGTAGTTGTAGTTGTAGTTGTCGTTGTAGTTGTAGTTGTAGTTGTAGTTGTAGTTGTAGTTGTAGTTTTAGTTGTAGTGGTTGTTGTTGTGGTAGTTGTAGTTGTAGTCGTGGTTGTAGTTTTAGTCGTAGTCGTAGTCGTAGTTGTACTTGTGGTGGTAGTCGTAGTTGTTGTTGTGGTGGTGGTAGTTGTAGTGGTAGTTTTAGTCGTGGTTATCGTTGTAGTCGTGGTTGTCGTTGTAGTCGTAGTCGTGGTTGTACTTTTAGTCGTATTCGTAGTTGTAGTCGTGGTTGTAGTTGTAGTTGTAGTTTTAGT